TGTGTGTGTGTGTGTGTGTGTGTGTGTGTGTGTGTGTGTGTGTGTGTGTGTGTTGAGGGAGAGGCATAGCAGTTTGCTCTGCTGGGCTATTTCAGGGGTACGAGTGTGGGGCTCTGTAAGCCAATCAGTGTGTGATTTGCTGTCCGGGCCAACTTGTAGGTTTGTTTGGAGTCAGTGAACCCTTCCCCCTCTCCCACTCCTGGTTCAGTTGGGACTGAGTGAAAGGCCTCTGGTCTTTGAACCAGACTGTTAGGAGGCCAAGTTAGCCTGTTCCTGGAGGGCAAAGCCCAGAGCTCCATGGGCACAAGCTGTGCGTGTGAACTTGTAATTTTCTATGTATGGAAAATTCTGAGTTAAGGTGCTATTTTAAAGAAAAAAAGACAAATGACCTCGTAGTGGGAGATGTAAGTTAAATCTGAAAATTTTTATTCGTTAAAAAAATGAGTAGGGGTTATTTAGTGAAGAGGGAAAGGAATAGCACTCTGGACAGGGAATGGTATTTGCAAAGAAACAGGTGGCAGGCAGTCAGAAAGTCCTATGGCACTTGAAACTCAATATGTGGAAAATAAAACTTACTATTTTTTTTCCTGAAAGCCTATTTTTCTATATTCTTGGACTCAGCACATTATTGCCCAAATCAGAAACCCCAGATATCACTCTAAATATATGTGATGTGTTAGCTTGACTAGGCCAAACAAAATTCCTTAGCATCCTCCCCCCCACCCCCTCGTATGTTTGTAGTGGGCTGTGAGGGAGAAGCAGCCGTTCCTAGCCAATCCCTTCCCACACACCGTCTCCCAGTTATTCCGTGGAACACTAATGTAGGGACTGTGGTGAAAGGATTTTGCAAATATAACTAAAATCCATCATGGGTTGGTTTTGAGTTAACCTAAAGGGAGAGTATCCTGGGTGGTCTGACTTAATCAGATGGAATCCCTTTAAAAGAGGGCTAGGCCCCCCTGGAGTCAGAGACAGCTGGGCCTGCATTACTTTCCTTTCCCCCAGGATCAGCCCTTCCTGTCTGCCTCTTCTGTTGACCTCCAGCTTACTTAGCCAACTCCCACAATTACATAAGCCAATTAGCTAATTCCTTGTACTAAATCAATTTGTGTGTGTGTGTGTGTGTGTGTGATTTTCGTTGTTGTTGGCAGAAACCAAGTTTATTGGTGGGTAGACAGACATCCTGCCAGAAGAGGGCAGCAGGAAGGTGGTCCAAAGTAGATTGCCTGTATATGAGATTTTATATGTATACTAGAGGCCCAGTGCACGAATTCGTGCACTGGTGGGGTCCCTTGGGCTGGCCAGGGAGAGGGACCAAAGGAGGTTGGCTGGCCAGGGGGGAGGGACTGTGGTAGTGCACGAACCACCAGGGGGCATCTCCTGCATTGAGCGTCTGCCCCCTGGTGATCAGTGCACGTCATAGCAACCGGTCAACCAGTCGTTTGGTCGCTTAGGCTTTTATATATATAGATATATTTTCTATTGATTCTACTTCTCTGCTTGAACCCTGACTCGTAATATACCCCTATACTCGATCACTTAGGTTCTCTCCTTTTGGGCCCTCCTCTCTGTTTGGTGCATTTGGGTTCATTTGAGCCCCACTTCTTGCCTGGTTATTGGGGTCCCCTTCCAGCTCCTCTCTCTGAGACTTTATCTCATACTAGAGGCCCGGCACATGAAATTTGTGCACAGGTAGGGTCCCTAGGCCTGGCTGGTGATCAGGGCCAATCAGAGCCTTCCAGCTGCCGGCCACGGCCTTCCTTCATTCCATGCCACCATCTGGTGGTCAGCGTACATCATAGAGAGCGGTCAATCAAACTCCTGAGGGGACAATTTGCATATTAGCCTTTTATTATATAGGATGATTGCCCAGGGTGTTCTTTATAAGCTA